GGGATGAGACTTCGGACGAAAAATAAATAAAAAAGGCCAAAGAAGCCCAAAAAAGGAGAAATAAAAGAGACCATAAAAAAGAGAAAATGCCCAAATAAAAAATAAAAATAAAAAAATAAGAGAAAAATAGAGAAGGGACAATGTTACTATCCTTTTACCACACTTGTGCTTCAAAGTAGCATCATGATCTTCATAGTAGAGAGTCTCTCATGTTATCACTTTCATATACTAGCGGGAATTTTACATTATAGAAATTGGCTTGTATATTCCAATGATGGACTTCCTCAAAATGCCCTAGGTCTTCGTGAGCAAGCAAGTTGGATGCACACCCACTTAGTTTCTTTTGATGAGCTTTCATATACTTATAACTCTAGTGCATTCATTGCATGGCAATCCCTACTCACTCACATTGATATCTATTGATGGGCATCTCCATAGCTCGTTGATACGCCTAGTTGATGTGAGACTATCTTCCCCTTTTTGTATTCTCCACAACCACCATTCTATTCCACCTATAGTGATATATTCATGGCTCACGCTCATGTATTGCGTGAAGATTGAAAAGGTTTTGAAAAAGTTAGAGTATGAAATAATTGCTTGGCTTGTCATCGGGATTGTGCATGATTTAAATACTTTGTGTGGTGAAGATAGAACATAGCCAGACTATATGATTTTGTAGGGATAACTTTCTTTGGCCATGTTATTTTGAGAAGACATAATTGCTTTGTTAGTATGCTTGAAGTATTATTATTTTTATGTCAATATAAACTTTTGTCTTGAATCTTTCGAATCTGAATATTCATATCACAATTAAGAAGATATGCATTGAAATTATGCCAAGTAGCACTCCGCATAAAAAATTCTTTTTTTATCATTTACCTACTCGAGGACGAGCAGGAATTAAGCTTGGGGATGCCTGATACGTCTCCAACGTATCTATAATTTTTGATTGCTCCATGCTATATTATCTACTGTTTTGGACTATATTGGGCTTTATTTTCCAGTTATATATTATTTTTGGGACTAACCTATTAACCGGAGGCCCAGCCCAGAATTGCTGTTTTTTTGCCTATTTCAGTATTTCGGAGAAACAGAATATCAAACAGAGTCCAAACGGAATAAAACCTTCGGGAACGTGATTTTCTCACCGAACGTGATCCAGGAGACTTGGACCCTGCTCCAAGGAGTCAAAGAGGCGGTCACGAGGGTGGGGGGCGCGCCCACCCCCTAGGGCGCGCCCCCTGCCTCGTGGGCCCCTCGGTGCTCCACCGACGTACTCCTTCCTCCTATATATACCTACGTACCCCCAAACGAACAGATACGGAGCCAAAAACCTAATTCCACCGCCGCAACTTTCTATATCCACGAGATCTCATCTTGGGGCCTGTTCCGAAGCTCCGCCGGAGAGGGCCTCATCACAGAGGGCTTCTACATCATCATAGCCCCTCCGATGAAGTGTGAGTAGTTTACCTCATACCTTCGGGTCCATAGTTAGTAGCTAGATGGCTTATTCTCTCTTTTTGGATCTCAATACAAAGTTATCCCCCTCTCTTGTGGAGAACTATTCGATGTAATCTTCTTTTTGCGGTGTGTTTGTTGAGACTGATGAATTATGGGTTTATGATCAAGTCTATCTATCAATAATATTTGAATCTTCTCTGAATTCTTTTATGTATGATTGGTTATCTTTGCAAGTCTCTTCGAATTATCAGTTTGATTTGGCCAACTAGATTGGTAGTTCTTGCCATGGGAGAAGTGCTTAGCTTTGGGTTCGATCTTGCGGTGTCCTTTCCCAGTGACAGAAGGGGCGGCAAGGCACGTATTGCATCGTTGCCATCGAGGATAACAAGATGGGGTTTATTTCATATTGCATGAATTTATCTCTCTACATCATGTCATCTTGCTTAAAGTGTTACTCTATTTTTAACTTAATACTCTAGATGTATGCTGGATAGCGGTCGATGAGTGGAGTAATAGTAGTAGATGCAGAATTGTTTCGGTCTACTTGTCACGGACGTGATGCCTATATAGATGATCATGCCTAGATATTCTCATAACTATGCTCAATTCTGTCAATTGCTCAACAGTAATTTGTTCACCCACCGTAGAATACTTATGCTCTTGAGAGAAACCACTAATGAAACCTATGGCCCCCGGGTCTATTCTCATCATATTAATCTCCATCACTTTAATCTTGCTTTGCTTTTTTACTTTGCCTTTACTTTTCGCTTTGCATCTCTATACCAAAAATACCAAAAATATTATATCTATCAGATCTCACTCTCGTAAGTGACCGTGAAGAGATTGACAACCCCTAATCGCATTGGTTGCGAGTAGCTATCGTTTTGTGTAGGTACGAACGACTTGAGTGTGGCCTCCTACTGGATTGGTACCTTGGTTCTCAAAAACTGAGGAAAATAGTTACGCTACTCTGCTGCATCATCCCTTCCTCTTCGGGAAAATCCAACGCAAGCTCAAGAGGTAGCACGCGCCGAGGAGGCCCGTCCGGGCCAGCCGCCGTCCGCGCGTCGGTCCGCTCGTTGCCCTGCGCCGGCTGTCACCGCCCTGCTCTGACCGGGACACCTGCATCGCCCTGACCTGGTGGCCTCGCGCCATGCGATGACCAATAATAGCCATCGCTCGCGCGCCGGCCCGCTCATCGATCCACGTCACCCGCCTCCGTCGCGTATGCACAGCGGCCCAGCGGTCTACCTCGCCGGCCTCGTTCTCGGCTGCGTTGGGACGGCTACATCAGGCTCGCTGGCTGCCTCAACTCGGACGCCGCTGCTCCGCTGGTCGCTCGGGCCTCGCTGCCCGGGTGCTGGTGCTGACAAGCTCGTCCGCACGACGTCCCACGCCGTCTGTCGTTGCTGGCTTCATCTCGGACTCCGCCGCCACCACGCCTCCACCGAGCGGCGTCCCCGACCTCACACGCGATCGACTTGATCACCCGCTCGCCGCCGCGATCCACCTCATCTACGCCGCGCGATCGACCTGGCCCGTCGGTTACGCGCGCCTCGGCAGGTTCCGTGAAGATCGTCCCCGAGTTCAGCGCGCCTCTCCACCGATCGAGCATCGGGCTGCCGTTGCGTCGCCCCGTCGGGCCGCAGCGCCGCCGCCCCGTGGTTCTCCTCGCGGTTGCATCGACTCGTGTGTCGCCGCTACATCGCCCCTTCGGGCCGTAGTGTCGCGATACGCGGTCCCCGCCGCCGCCCCGAGGCCGTCCCCGCGGTTGCACCGACTCGCGAACCGCCGTTGTGTCGCCCCTTCGGGCCGTAGCGTCGCAGCCCACGGTCCCCGCCGCTGCCCCGAGGTCTTCCTGTCGTTGCCCCGACCCGCCTGCCGCCGCTGCATCGCCCCTTCGGGCCGTAGCGCCGCGGCCCGCGGTCCACTCCGCCGTCACCGCGTGTCGACCTTCCGTGGTATGCGTCGTGCCGTCTCCCTTGGCGCGGGAACCCCACCATCCGCACCGGTCTTCGTCACGCTGTCAGGGTTCTTCGCCTACTTCGAGCACCGCCGCCGCCCGCCGCACTCCTAACTTAGCCGCTGCCGCCGCCACTCTTCTTCGTCCGCCGCCGCTGCTACCCCCGTAGCCGCCGCCGCCGCCCGTCCACCTCCCTTCGTCTTCGTCCAACACCAGCCCGTCGCCAGCGTCGCCATCATCTACCTCGACCACTTCGTCTACTCCGACCACCGTTGGTGGCATCGGCCCCGTGCCGATGGACGCCGCAATCGTCGTCGAGTTCTTCTCTACTGGCCTCTCCGACTTCTTCGACATGGCGTATAGCTCGTGCAGGTCCCAGTCTTCGCGCGCTCGATGCTGGCAACACCGTTGCGTGCCTTCGTCCACGATGTCTCCTCGGGCCTGGCAAGCCTGGTGCGACGCTCCGTCAACTTCGTCTTCGTCCGTCTATGCTTGCCCGGTGCTGGCAACACCGGTGCGTGCCTTCGTCCACGATGTGTCCCCGGGCTTGGCAAACCCGTCGAGACGCGTCGTCAACAACATCTTCTTCCCGGTGCAGCACTACTTCGACACCACTGCGCCCATGCTAACTCGGTGCCCCCTTGCGCCCGCGGCTCCACGGCGACTTCCTCGACACCGGCCACCCCGACTCGACATCGACCACGGCATTCTTCGCACGGCTACCTCGACCACGGCTCCACCACCCACGCTCTCGGCTACATCGACAAACGGCACAAAGGGCTACCGCCTGCTTGAGCAACCTCGTTGGTTTCCGCTCCAGCCACGACTCCGCGATGCGTCGACCGTTACGACCGTGGGGGGTGTTCGTCGGCTTGCCTTCGGATTCTTCTCCAGTCTCACTGTCTGCGTCGCTACCGTTGTGACCGCGGGGGATGTTGAGTAACGTGATTGTATTAGGAAACATAGGTTAGACTAGGAAATATTCTGGATTGCCTTGTACTTCAAGTAGATCATGTACTCCTATATATATGCCCACGAGGCTCAAGCAATACAACGATTATTCCACCAATTCCTCTCTCTCCCTTCTAACAGTGTCAAATGCTAACAACAACATAGAACTGAAAATATAAGTAGTTCTGAACGGATCTAAAGCAAGCATATCTAGAAGGACCCCGATAACGCCCGAACATTCGAGATTTGACCATGGCAAATCGAACGGTTTTTATGGCAATTTTTAATGAAGCGGTGATGGCAAATTTAGTCGGCAAGCATAGCAAATCCATACTCAGTGTATTGTCTGTCAGGAAATTGTGGTGCGTGTCAACTAAACATGACATTCTCGCGTCGCTAAAATTGCCTTCGAAAAAGTTATTTGGATCATCGTCATTACCAAAGCCGGGCAACATATTATTTGATGAACAACGTTTGCACATATTCAACATTATTATTGCACTCGTATGCATGGAGGAGCAGCAGAGTAGACATATAGTAGAAGACAGACGGAAATACATAGGTGAGAAGTGAAACAGATGCTCATGTGAGACGAAGGAGACGAGCTCGCGGTCCGTCACGTATTTCACGGGTTGACGAAGAAGTCGAGCTCGAGGACGGCGTTGGGGTGGTCGAGCCGGACGGTCTTCCACAGCACGTAGCCTGTGGCCATCCTGAACTGGCCCGTGCCGCCGACCACCGACAGCTCCCGCACCGCCGCGCCGATGTCGTCCCGGCCGACCACCGTGACGGAGGACCCCGCGTAGGGGCCGGAGGTGAGGAGCACCTCCATGGTGACCAGCAGCTCCGGGTTCCCCTTGGACGCCCAGATGTATCGCCCCTGCGCGCGCCCCACGCCCGCCGACGTCGCCGACGAGGTCGCCGTGAGCGCGTCGTCGATGACGATGGTGTCGCCGAAGTGGCCGCGCGGGCCGTCCAGCACCTGCACCGCCGTCGGCGCCGGGCCGGTCAGCACGTCGTGCATGTAGAAGTGCAGGTGCGCCGACGCCCCCGACACCGCCGCCGGCCGCGCGGCCATGACGGCCAGCAGCGCGAGCAGCACGGAGCAGAGCCGGCCGCCGGAAGCCATGGCAGCAAGAGAGCTCAGCTCAGGACTCAAGTGTCTACCTGTGTGATGTCTTGTTTCTGCTCGCTACGGATTCATCTGAATCCTTGTGTGCTGTATATATACACGCACGCAAGAGAAATATGAGGATCCATCTTGGTGATAATGTTGCTGAGGTGTATGGTCGGTGTGACAATAATTTCTCAATGATCATGCCTGGTTTGTTTGTATTGAGGGCAGCAGTTGATGCGTCGTCTTCTGGATCGGGCCGCGTTTATGTTGCCATTCTTCACTGTCGAGGAGCGCGCATGCATGGTCCCGAGCTGCAGATCGAGATCTATCAACAGCAGGAAATGTAGATGAATGTATCAATCACCATTGATTTGTAGTGCGGGTTACATAGCTGTGAAGTGGCGATTGTTGCCATAGCTTGGGAGCTCTGGATTCAGATTTCAGAGCTCCATGTTTTCTTGTTGAAAGAGGTGAAGTGGCGATTCCAACAGTGAAAATTGCAACAAAATCTACCATGCCGTGGTAACGCAAATGGTCACGGCAATTTTACCTCGAGAAGCAGTAAAAAAAATCCTCAAAAAAGTCAGAAAAACGAAAGCTTAGCCAAATGAGAGTTTTTCCTTTTACTACGATTTTTTTATATAGGATGGTATAAGCAGGCACAATGCTGTTAAGATGTACCATCACATCGTAATGACTGGGAAGAAATAAAGAGAAAACAGATGACACCCCCCGTGCACTTGTCCAAGAGATTTTCGAGATAGTCGTGTTTTGTATGTGATTCTTGGGCGAAATTCAACATCCTTCTAAAACATACTCCGTCCGTTCGGAAATAACTGACGTGGTTTTAGTTCAGTTTTGAAAACCACGTCCGTTATTTGAACTAAGACCATGTCAGTTATCTCCGAATGGAGGGAATACATTTTTGTTGAGATGAACTAACTGGAGAACTTGAACACAAATACAAATTGCCCAAATGAATGATTTTTTGAAATACTTTGCCCAGGTTGGCACGCCATGATACTCTTCACATCAGAAGTCGAACTTGTCTTTTTCCCTGTTCTTTAATTACATTCATGTTGTTAACAGTGAATGAGCTAACACTCTCCTTCAGAACCGTCAATTCATATGTTTCATAAAACCGACAAGGCTTAGGTGAACTCAGCCGTTGCAAAAATGCTGTTCTGTATTGTCCCTTTGGAGACACTGATAAAATTGGAACGGTGCAGAGAAGATTCACATGGATGACATGCACAAATTGCCACTGTCTATTTATCATATCTGGATATTGCAAAGTGCTTACAAAGAAAAAGATCATCTGTTGGAACATTATGGGCAAGGATTGGGATATCTTGCATGTACATAATTGATCTCCGCCAAAATTTCTTCACAGAGATGGACCCCTGTGGCCTGAAGAACTTCCTCGAGCTGACATAATTTAGTAGCACCGCAAACAGCTGACCCCACGAGGGGGTGTCTCAGTACAAATGCTGAAAGCATAAAGATGAGAAGAAATGATCAGTGATTAATGGCTAAAAATTCAACTTCGCAAAGAACATAAATTATGTGGTAAACACACCAACTGCTAGGATTGATGGTGAAATGCCATACTTGACGCCAATTCTTCTATATTCCTGAAATAGTTTACAAGAATTAATGTGTGCTCATTCTTCTACATTCCTGAAATAGTTTACAAGGACTAATGTGTAAGCATGAAGAAGACAGAGGATGGCTACTACCGCACCTTCACTGCCAATTCCAGCTTGGGGTTCTGCAGATTGTATCTGGATTCACCCTCGGAGTATCTCCCTACAAAGCAGGAGGAGCACTGATGATGCGGAGCACAAGAATGAAATTAAAGGGACCGGGAATCTGGCTATGAAACTACTTAAAATGTAAAACTTGACACCTTTGAAAAGATTCATCCTTGCATCTAGCGGACCGCTGTCGTCGGACGAGTGATACTTCCCTGAAAGTATACCCATTGCCATTGGGCTGTAGGCCAGCAAACTGATTCTGCAAATGCCATAGTTCACCAAGGCAAGTTAAGAAAGTAACTACAAACTGAGATGGGCAGCATTTGTCACCCACAAAAGTAGCTAACTGAAGGTTGAGGACTATGCTATGGATACCTCTCGTGATGGCAGCATTCCGCCAACCCAGCATCGAAATTGCGACACAGCAGGTTATACGAGTTCTGCAAAATGCATATGAAAATAAGTATTAAGTGCTATCCCGTCACTGAAACAATACACATCTAAATGATTAAATTCACTCTGCTACTTACTTGGACTGTTAGTATCTTGGAGCGCAGCTGAAAATCGCTAGACAGTTGAAGGAACTTCATCAACCCATATGGTGTTTCGTTGCTAAGGCCAATGTACCTGATCTAACACCAGTAATTTAAATGAGTCTGCCAAAACGGGAGAACTAACATGTTGTACAAATAGGCAGGATATAACACCGGCAGCAACCCTGCAGCATACCTTTCCAGCCTCTACGCCTTTTCCAAGCGCCTCTAGTTGTTCTTCCATCGGTATGGACGCGTACTGACGGCTCGGATCGTAGTCCGTCTCTCCAAACATAGGAACATAACTACAGGGTAAGCATGTCTTGTGTTAGGACTTGAGGCACATGATATGATACTAGCAAAAAACATAGCATTGCAGCCACTGGCATGGAATGAAGTTGGTGGACAGACCGGTCAGGCCAGTGTATCTGGTAGAGGTCGATGTAATCCACGCCCAATCGGCGCAAACTGCAACCACAAAAGGAGAGCATATCAAACATTCTTCAGATAATATGAACAGAAATACCACCCGTCCAACCAAGCAAACGGTTCCTGGAGGAACATGTACTGTGTTGGTAAACCATTTCATTCTGAACAAAAACTGACTAGCTTCTGAACTTTTTAGAGGAAACTAGCTTCTGAACTTAGAACAAAGGATCAAGTATCTGAAGTTCTGAATAGAAGAAAAATTAACAATTGACCAACCTGGTATCGATTGCCTCGGTGATGTTCCTGGAGTCGAGAGCCACCGGCCCGCCACGGATCCACGTCATCTGACCAGACGGCCCGGCGACCTGCCCGGGCAACGCAGGATCGAAACACAGAATGAACTGCAGTGTTGGTAGATTTTACTGACAAAGGGCATTGGCTGCTGACGAGAAGCTGACCTTGGTGGCGAGCACCACGCTGTCGCGGGGGACCCGCCGGGCCCGCAGCCACCGGCCGACGAGCTCCTCGCTGCGCCCGTGCGTTTCCGCGCGCTGCGGCACCGGGTACATCTCGGCGGAGTCGAAGAAGTTGACGCCGGCGTCGAAGGCGGCGTCGAGGAGGCGGAGCGATTCCGGCGGCCCGCTTTGCTCCCCCATCGTCATGGTCCCTGCGGCGCCGGAATCTGGTCAGCGCAGAAGCGTGGGCGGAGGCAGGAGACAGAGGATGGATGGATGTGGGGCCGAACCGAGGCAGAGGCGGGACACGGGCGGCAGGTCGGGGGCGAGGTGGAAGGTGGGCATTGCCATGGCCGCGCTCTGTTGCTGCTGGCTGCCGCTCTCTCCTACCTATCCTCTCGGCTGTAGCGGGCCTGTGCCGATGAAGGAGAGAGAAAAGTGGAAACTAACGGGAAAACTTAAATGCCCTTTGGTCAACTTAAAAAAGATATTTCCACAGCGCAAAAAAAAATTAAAAAAATGTACATACAGAGGTACACATATGACGCGTTTTTTTGAATAATTTAGATTGCATGACAATATTCTTTCATACGTGGCGTAGACAAAAAAAACAAAACGAACATAAAAATGGGTCCCTTTTTTGTTGTTGGGACCGGATTTTTTTTCCTGTGCACCTTGCAAATCATAATATTTTTAAACGAAAATTTATAGGATCCATCGTGAATATGTATAAGTTTTTCCTTTTTTTGAAACTTGGAAATGTGATTTTTGAATCATTTGAGAAAACGGGACCCAATGCCCCCGTCCTCCATAAATTCGCACCCGAAAAGAATAACTTTACACTTAGGCTAGCCATAGTGGGGGTAACTTAGGTAGTAACTGAAGGAAATATGCCCTAGAGGCAATAATAAAGTTATTATTTATTTCCTTATATCATGATAAATGTTTATTATTCATGCTAGAATTGTATTAACCGGAAACATAATACATGTGTGAATACATAGACAAACTTAGTGTCACTAGTATGCCTCTACTTGACTAGCTCGTTAATCAAACATGGTTATGTTTCCTAACCATGAACAAAGAGTTGTTATTTGATTAACGGGGTCACATCATTAGGTGAATGATCTGATTGACATGACCCATTCCATTAGCTTAGCACCCGATCGTTTAGTATGTTGCTATTGCTTTCTTCATGACTTATACATGTTCCTATGACTATGAGATTATGTAACTCCAGTTTGCCGGAGGAATACTTTGTGTGCTACCAAACGTCAAAACATAAATAAGTGATTATAAAGGAGCTCTACAGGTGTCTCCAAAGGTACATGTTGGGTTGGCGTATTTCGAGATTAGGATTTGTCACTCCGATTGTCGGAGAGGTATCTCAGGGCCCTCTCGGTAATGCACATCACATAAAGCCTTGCAAGCATTGTAACTAATGAGTTAGTTGCGAGATGATGTATTACAGAACGAGTAAAGAGACTAGCCGGTAACGAGATTGAACTAGGTATTGGATACCGACGATCGAATCTCGGGCAAGTAACATACCGATGACAATGGGAACAACGTATGTTGTTATGCGGTCTGACCGATAAAGATCTTCGTAGAATATGTAGGAGCCAATATGGGCATCCAGGTCCCGCTATTGGTTATTGACCGGAGATATGTCTCAGTCATGTCTACATTGTTCTCGAACCGTAGGGTCCGCACGCTTAACGTTACGATGACAGTTATTATGAGTTTATGCATTTTGATGTACCGAAGTTAGTTCGGAGTCCCGGATGTGATCACGGACATGACGAGGAGTCTCGAAATGGTCGAGACATAAAGATTGA